AAACAAACAGACTGTTTGTAGTAGCTCTAAGGCTTCCATAATGGACACCCACACTTACCTAGCGCATTTGCAAACATAAAAAGCATCTTTACTCTGCACAGTACCAGTGAAACTTTTGCCAGCAAAATACATATTACTGATGATTTTATAACTTATAAATACATTTTGACAGAGACAAATACAAGTTATATTTAGGAAACACCCCCATACTCTGAGATGGCAAAGCTGCAAACAGGTTTAGACTCTGACTAAGCGTACCTCACCTCAGAGAAGCACTGCGTCACCATTAGATGAAGGAGACTATGAGCTGCATTTGTGTAGGCGCACATATTTAAAAGTGGTTATGCTGGCTACAGGGAGATGGCATTACGTGTTGATCTTCTGGAGTCCTGCTGTCTTTTGCTTTTCCAAAACTTTCTGAGACCTCTTCAAGGCTTGCAAGACACAATGCTAAGCAATATGAGATACCAGCAGTTATACTGAAGCAAGCTAAAATACGGCTTAAACAGAAAGAGACCACTGCCATTAAGTTGCTTCATTTGACTTTGATTGGATATCTTATTGGCAACTATTCCTACAGTAACATTTGCTACCCTACATGGTGGCTATCTGCACAGCTTCTTTAATGCCATTATTCTTACAGTAGCACAGAAAATATGCAAGACTGGCATTAAGCAGAATAGACTTCTACTCTCAAATCCTCATGTTTGAGAATCTCTTTGACCCAACTCCGTAACTGCCATGGGGAATACCTTCACGGCCAAAAAGGAGAGAGAGGCGAACCCCCAAAAATACAGCCCAGTCTTTAGCTTTCCTTTGGTTTGCAGTCCCCACCTCCTCTTCCTTCCAAGACCATACATGTTATGCTGAAGTTCTTCTAACCTGAGTGGAATGGTGAAGACACCATCTACTTTCTCATAACAAACCAGTTTTTAAAATTTCGTTCAGCTTATTGACCACGTGCACAGAAAGCAGGCATGCCTCTATCTTGAACCGCCACTTTTCCAAGTCAAATATAAAGTATGTCTGTATGACATCCCCTCCAGAAATAATTTAGATAAAAGAATAAATTAACATAAATTCCCTATGTGTAGCTACAAGAGCTTGGTAGAAAGGCATGCCAAAACTAAGCTCCTCTGAAGACATCACTGGAGACAAAATGTTTAAAAAGTTTTTCTTCCCTTGATCCATCCTGAAAGCAAACAATATTTCTTGCACTTACTGCTCCTTTGGCTGAAGACACCTAGAATTTTGAGGCTTCCTGGTACAGAGTCAGTGGCTGATATCACCTCCCAAAATGGACACTAATATTCCTGATGCTGAAGGAATATTCTTCCCCTGGCTCTAGCAAGAAGGGTTTGGTGATGTTTCAAAGCATGAAAATTGATATCCCAAATATGGTTTTAGATACACAAGTGTGAAAGTTGTTATTAACCATATAAATGCCTATTTTTTAAAAACCTTTTAAATAGTGGGTGCTGTAGCCTAAATCTGTGATCTGTGAGTGACTGCATACATATATTGATTTCTGGCTTTTGTGTCTCTTTACCAAGGTATACTGTAAGATTAAAATTTCAGCTACTAAAGCTTTCTCATATGTTGCTCATTATTTCACATCCCCCTCTACACTTTCACTTTTATCTGTAAACTGAGAGCTCCTCCTATTTCAAAATATTCCCCAATGAATATATTTCAATTCTTTTGTTGCTCTTTTCTAGACCCTTTTCTAGACTCTTTGAATTTCTATCATATCTGCTGTTGCTCACTTCATGTCAGAAACAGAAATTATGACAGATTAAAGTGTTCCAATAATTTGCGAAACAAAATCCCTTTACTAGAACTACCTGCTTTAATTTTTCATGCTTTTGTCCAGAAGTGCACACTGAGCAAGCCACAGCAAGTCTAAATTCCGTTCCTGACTAGCTGTGGTTAACTGGAAAATGAAAACTGCATTGAATAATTTTTCATTACTTCTTAAAGTGGATTAACCATATTTCTTCTACTCAGATTTTATACTGTTTCAGGTTACATAATCATCCAGCTTTATTAGATAACAAATAATGAGTTCTGTAAATGGGGCATCTGTGCTCTCCAGACACCCTTTCTAAATAGTTAAGTCCTAGGCTTTGCCCTGCTATTAACATTACCTTATTCTGAAGGGAAAGCATTTGG